ACGCATATACAGATGAGAGAAATGTGATGACAGATAATGATGCGTTCACACCGCAGTCGTTAAATACATTTTTAGAAAATTCTGCAGATGCATGCACGGAATGGGAAAATACAATGCAAAGCAATATCGAAGATATCAAAGATGTCGAAAATGTTAAAGACGTCAAAAATATCGAAAACGTAGAAACCGTTGAAAATGTTGAAGACGTTGAAAATGTTGAAGACGTCGAAGATATCGAAAATATTGTTTTGCATACAGATGAGAATATCGACGCATATCGTTTACATTCTGAAGAGATTAGTGGACGACGTATCGTCAATGTTGGACATTTTTTTGCTGAATTGCAGAGACTGTCCACTCATTGGATCGGCGAATGTCGTTTTACTGATCTTGTATTGAGTGAAAAGAAGCGTGACGGTCTAAAAACCCAATTTTCTGTCAAATGTCGAATGTGTCACACCACAGGTGACTTTTGTAGTGAACCGACAGATGAGAGAATATTGGATGTCAATAGTGGTATCGTTTCCGGTACTATATTGACAGGGACTGGTCATAAGCAGCTTGAAGAACTTCTTTCAGCTGCAGATATTCCATGCATGCGTAATAAAACATATATAAAGTATCATAATAAAATGTCGGAAGCCTTCGCCGCCGCCGCGGAAAAAGAAATGCGTGTAGCTGGCGAAGAGGAAAAACGTTTAGCAATAGAAAGAGGAGATGTCATAGACGGCATTCCGCATATACCCGTGATAACAGACGGCTCGTGGATGAAGAGATCCTACCGTACTGGTAGTTACGATTCTCCATCCGGAGCAGCTATTATTACGGGATATTATTCAAAAAAAGTATTATTTGTTGCTGTCCGAAATAAATATTGTATTGTTTGTGCGAGAGCAGCGAAAATTAATACAGTAGCAAAAAAGCATGTATGTTACAAAAATTGGGGGAGCAATCAGAGCTCCACCAGTATGGAAAGTGATATAATCCTTGAAGGCTTCCGACTAAGTTTAGAAATGCATGGCCTTATTTATAATAAATATATCGGTGACGGTGATAGTAACGTATTAAAAAAATTGAGAGATTTTCCACCGTATCCAAATATTGTTGTGCAGAAGATTGAATGCACGAATCATCTCCGCAATCTTTCTAATAAAATACGTGAGGCAAGTAGTACCGGTAGTAGAAATATTTCAAAATTGAAAAAGGTCGTTGAGCACAGCGTTATGAAAATTCGAAACGCTGTGGTTAAGGCTGTCACCTTTCGCCGCAATCGTGAAGTTAGTTGGCAAATAAAAATTTCAGAATTAATCAAAGATTTAAATAATATACCTAGCCATGTATTTGGTGAACATAAAGATTGTGCTTTGCTTCAATATTTCTGTAATGGACAACAGAAAGAAGGCGAAAAAAATTTTGTGCCCCAATTACAACGTGCAGGATTATTACAAAAAGTACAAAATGCTATGAAACGCGTAATAGAAAATGCCGATAGCTTACTTTATCAATTTACTAGTAATTCTGTTGAAAGTTGTAATGCAATTATTAGTAAATTTATTGGTGGCAAGCGCGTTCATTTTGCCATGAAAGGTTCTTACCAGACACGCGTTAAAGCATCAGTAGTGCAACATAATACTTCGCGAGCCTTGAGTTCTGTTTGTCGTGTAATGAAAAACCACCTACACAAACAGATATCATTGAAACTAGAAATATAAAAAAAAATGCCAACCAGCTTAAACGAACACGTGCGGCGAAAGAATTAGGTCTCTCTGTTCGTACATCTAAATTTTCTACTAAAATAATGACTGATAAAGATTATGGACCAAATGTAGAACGGCCAGATATCGAAAGTAATATATACGAACAGCTGAGACGTAATCATTTTCAAATGTTATTAGATCAGCAAAGTAATCGTACTGTATTGGAGTATGCTACACGGGATCAGCATGAAAACCCGGTGTGGCTCAACATACGGCGAAATCTTCTCACTGCTTCAAACTTTGGAAAAGTTTGTAGTAGAAGAGAAACAACTTCGTGCAAAAATCTAGTTAAAGCAATTCTTTATTCTCCTCAATTGACAAATGCGGCTGTTGAGTGGGGTAAAGAAAAAGAAATGATAGCACGTAAGCAATTGCAGGAGGAGTTGGGGATACAAATTGATAATTGTGGAATATATATTGATGAAAATATTCCATACCTTGCTGCGACGCCTGATGGCATTGTCGGAGACGATACTATCGTTGAGATTAAATGTCCTTATGCGGCGCGACAAGTGTCTCCCATCGATGCAATGCTCAATAAGATTTCAGACATTCATAGAATGTTTGATAAAACGGATGACACTCGAATAAATGAAAGACACGCGTACTACTTCCAAGTACAGGGACAACTCCACATAACGCAAAAAAATAATTGCATTTTTGCTGTGTGGACACCCTTGGGATTGAAGTACACGATTGTCGAGCGTGATGACAGATTTTGGGAAACAAAAATGTCACCACTGCTTAAACGATTCTACGAGGACTGCTTGGTTCCTGAAATAATAGATAGTAGAGCAGCAAGAAATATGCCTATTCGGGAACCGCAGTATGTCATCAAAGCACAAGCGGCTAAGAAAAATGACATAAAAGTGGAAAGTGTTATTGAAAGCACCACTACCACTGTTGCTATTCCAGAAATGGAGCAAGATGACGATTGCATTATAACTGATTACTCAAATGAAAAAAGAGATCTAACTGAGAATAATATAAAAAGACAAAGAAAAATGTTAGATGATATAATACCTTCACTCTTATTAGTGAAGAATAATGTATTGCCTATAGATAGTAAATTAAATGATGAATCGTTAGATCTATTTTTACGTATTATAAGAGAAACTTCTTGCTTTGAAACACAAAGTGTGTTATATTTAGAATACCCGCACATAATTGAAGGTAGTCGTAGCAATAAAAGTTTACAAATTATTGGCGGAAATTGCACAGATCATTGGCGATGTATTTATTTTGATGGCACCAAACTTCACGTGTACGACAGCTTACCTGGTACTACGTACGATAAATTGCATGCTAAAGAAAAAGAATATATTCGCCTTCGTTATCCTAAGATAAACAAATATGATATGATTTTTGAAAAAGTACAAACACAATTAGATAACACTTCTTGTGGAATTTATGCTGCGGCTTTCGCTACAACTATAGTATTGAAAGGAAATCCTTGTAATGAAAAATATTCCAGTGACGTAAAATGCATGAGACGTCATTTAATTAAAATTCTAGAAAGCAACAAATTATTGCCTTTCCCGAATTAATATTTTTCATTATTTAAACTCATCTTTGTGTAAACTTTTATTGCTGCCATTATGCAAAAATAAGCAATGATAAAATAAAATGGTACAAGTTATCTGCAATCGTCATTGTATAGAACATATAGTATAACATAAAAATCTCGGAGAGACGATAAAAGATTATTGGTTGCGTTCTCACGGGAATGGGCGTTGGAGGGGCCCATTCTATATTTTATATATGTAATATTAAATTTATTATGACAATTAAATTTTATGTTATACTTTTGTTTTGAAAATAGTGCATTGCAAATTAGATCGCAATTTGAACTGAGGTGATTGCGTCGCAAAGTGTTAATATCAGATATATTTTGTTTTGCAATGTACTATTTTCAAAAATATTTAGTAATGGGTAACAAATAACAAGATACAAGTATAGAAACACATAACAAACAAAGTTGCATGTAAAATAAGAAATATTTTATAATACAAGTATACTTCCCATAATATGGTTGAGGTCACTTTGCGACGCAATCATTTAACTTAGTTTAAATTGCGATCCACTCGAATTATTAATTCGTGTTGTTTATTAAATATGTACAGAAACAATAGCAATTACATATATTAAAATTTTTATTAACTTCAAATTATAGAAAAGATTAGATATTTAAATGTATGTATATTTATATGTACATTGCTTTGCTATTGTTTACTGTACATTGTATACATATTATTATATATCTTTATTCCAAAGTAATTGTACTACATTAAAAACTTTAAAATAGAAAAGATCTCAAAAATAATACAATCAAATATATAATTCATAGATGTTTGATTGCATTGGAAAAAATTGCATATATTATTCTTTTATTAACATTTCTTATTATTTATATTATTTTTTATATTTATATTAAATATTTTTTACAATATTTTGTATTAAATATTTATATAACGATTTTCGGGATAAGAATATGTAACAATATGTTGTAGCGCTTCTATTGTTGTGTTTCCAATAAGCGCAAAAAATTATGATGTTATTATAAGTAATTGATATTTTAATATTATATAATTGACATTGTTTTCCTTTCAGATTTTATAATGAATTATTTCTTTTATTATAATTATATTGATATTATCTATAGAGTTGCTTGTTGCAGATAGATTTGGAGACGTCTGAAGGGCGGATCACTTTCAATAAAGAGGCGGATACCATTGAATCAACGCCATATTGCAGCATGTAACGTATGCATAGTGGGGGTTTTAGTGAGTAAGAATCTCACACTACCCCAGAAAACCGGGGTGCCTTTTGAAGGTTTCCCCCACGTAAAAAAAAACGCTGCTGCCATGTTGCTCTAACTTCAATTAATTAATAATGCAATATAATAATCAACAATTATTTGTATATAATAATATATATAGGTAATATATTTTAATATATAAAAATATTAAAAATATTTTTTTAAGATTAATAGAAAAAAAGAATATTTTTTTAAATATTCTTTTTCAATTTATAATCTTTAAATTAATTAATCTTTAATCTTTAAAATTGTAATCCGCCTTTCTTAATTTTAAAAATCTGATTTTACATTCATTATTTATCAGTGAAGAAATTTTTATATTAATATCTGTGAAAAAAGTGAACCATTCTATCGAACCTCTAAAGACTTTGTATTAGTAGTATAAGGAAACGTGCGAAAAATATTTTCAATTTTTAATTTAGTTTTTAGACATGTGGAGCGTGGGGCGGTATGAAATGCCAATTGATTTCATTATCTCGCATAAAACGCCGTATCGCAAACTGCGTGTCGTCGTCGTTGATCAAGTCATACAACTCCTTTATTTGTTTGCGCGCGCCGACAAACGTAGTGCCGTTATCTGAATATACACATGCCGGCTTGCCTCTACGCGATATAAAACGTTTAAAGGCGCCAAGGAACGCTTCCGATGTTAAATCGGTTACAATTTCGAGATGTACGGCCCTGGTCGAGAAACAAACGAACACCGACATATACGCCTTGTGTAATTTGGCATTACGTCTCTTGCCCTCTTTCAAGAGTATGGGTCCGGCATAATCTACGCCGCTATGCGTGAACGGTCTCGAAGCCGTCACGCGTTGCGCGGGCAAATCTGCCATTAATGCTTGCGATACAGCCGGCTTACACTTGAAGCAGGTTACGCAATTGTGAATTGTTTTTCGGACAGCCGAACGCGCCGCCAGAGGCCAAAATCGTCGATGCACCGCATGCATTGTGGCCTGTAGGCCTGAATGCAAATTTTTTACATGCTCTCGCTGTATGATTAAGGTTGTCAATCGGTGACTCTTCGGCAATAGCATGGGATGTCGCGCGTCGTATGGCAATGCTGCATTGCTTATTCGGCCCCCCACTCTAATGATCTCGTGTTCATCCATAAACGGAGTCAATGACAGAATCCGACTTCCGCCGTCAACGTTCCGACCCTCGGTCAACTGTTTATGTTCCCTTGAAAAGGCATGTCTCTGTACGCACCTCACCGCGACTCGCAGAGCTACTGTTATTTCGTGATGCGAAATAAACGTTGTCTGATATTTGATCGTACGCGAACGCGCTACTCTCAGGCAGTAAGCGATGATTCGCAATGCCCTGTCTAAATTGAAATGTTTGTCCAACAAATTTAGTACAATCGATTGTTGTATGGATATCACCGCTGCGGTTACCCTTTTTTGTTCCGGTAACTCGCCCGACAAGTCGACACACAATTTGACCGGCCAATGTTCCTCAGTTAACTGCAGGAATGCAGGTCCGTTCCACCAAATTGTCGATTGCATTAAGCCCGCCAGGTCGACGCCGCGCGATAATATATCCGCGGGATTGTGAGCGGACGGCACGTGCCGCCAACTCGATCTCCTGGTAAGGCGCTGAATTTCGCCAACGCGATTGGCCACGAAAGCGTTCCATTTACGCGACGGCGACGATATCCATTGTATAGTAATTGTGGAATCCGTCCATAAAATTATCTCTGATTTTGATAAATCAACCGATGCGCGAATCTTCTCGATTAAATGTGATAGCAGTAACGCGGCATTCAATTCTAGCCGCAGTAACGAAACTGCTCTAATTGGTGCTATTCGTGATTTGGAAATTAAAAGTTCCACCCGGTATCCGTCGGAATCGCGCGTTCTTATGTATACGCACGCGCCGTACGCACGCTCGCTCGCGTCACAAAAGCCGTGTACCTGTGATTTGCGCGCGTCCGCCCGAAATCCGACAAAACGCGGCACACGTAATTCGCGAAGGCGCGTCAATTGTTGTTTTACGTTCCGCCATCGCTGATGCAAATCTTGCGGCAACGATTCGTCCCACCCGACGCGAGCCTGCCACGTATCTTGCATGATCATTTTTGCCACAACTGTCAGTGGCCCTAATAAACCCAAAGGGTCGAAGACTCGCGATTTCCGACAAGATTGTCCGCTTCGTTATGCTACCCGTCGGTGCGCCGCAATTGTATCCGAAGCGAAATCCGTCGCTGGACGGATCCCATGCGACTCCCAATATTTTCGAGCTCGCTTCATCGTCTAATGACACCTCCGCACTCGTTGTGTCACTAATGCCCTGTAACAATTCTCGGCAATTCGATGATCATTTGCCGAGCTCAAACTGTCCGCGCCTTAACAAGGCTATCACCTCGTCACGAATGCGCCCTGCTTCGGACAATGTATTGGCGCCCGCGAGTAAGTCATCTACATAAAAATCCCGAAGAACGCATTGTGCCCTCGCAGGATAATCGAGGGCATGTTTTTGTGCCAAATGTTGAAGGCATCTCGTCGCGAGAAATGGCGGCGAGCCCGTGCCGTAAGTAACGGTAAGCAACTCATAAGTACCGACTGGCGAATTCGAGTTCTCGCGCCACAATATTCGTTGCAGATGTAGCTGTGACTCATGAATAAGTATCTGTCGATACATTTTAACTATGTCTGCAGTAAAAACGTACGCGAACGTGCGAAAACGAGTGAGAATTGATATCAAATCCTGCTGAACCGTAGGACCTATCATCAAGGCGTCATTCAAAGAAATTCCCGACGTGGTTTTGCACGATGTGTCAAAAACCACACGTAACTTCGCATTCCGGCCGATCCCCTTAAACACCCCATGATGAGGCAGATAAACGGATTCCCTATCGACCGCATGTGCGGGTACGAGTCGCATGTGTCCCAAGGCTAAATACTCGCGCAAAAATTGAACATATGAAGTTCTCATACTTGAGTCACGATGAAGTCGCTTCTCAAGACCAAGGAATCGCTTCATTGCTATTTCGCGCGAGTCTCCCAGCTTTTGCAAAATATCGTTTTTGATGGGCAGCGTCACGATGTATCTGCCCTTGTTATTGGTTGACACGTTGTTTATGAAATGGGTTTCACAGGTGCGCGCTCGTCCTTGGTGTAATGATTCGAATCGCCTAACTCCTCGATCCGCCAAAATCGTTCGATTTGTTCGTGAAGTTTTAAATTGCTAATTGATACGTGAAACGAGTGCAGCCCAGTCTCCGGTCGCGATGCACCGACGCGTGCGCGTCCGCCCACAATCCACCCCAAACGTGTTTTTTGAAGGATTGGATATCCGGAAGTCGCCTGAATCTGCCCCACGCACAACAATTGCCAAAATAGATCGGCGCCTATTAACAAGTCGACGTCAGACGACACGTTGAATCGCGGATCCGCCAACTCGACGCCGGAAGGCAGTTTGAATGTTTCACGTTTAATAGTGTTTAACGGAAGCTTGTCCTTTATGATTCGCTCCGCCACGATGCACTCGATCTCAGCCGCGAATGAATTGAATCGCGATTGCAGTTTGATGTCTACGTTTTCGTTTGAAATGGATGTGTCGTCGTATATGCCCAACACCGAGAAATTTACGGATTGCGGTTTTAAACCCAACAATTTTACATATTTGGTTGTCACGAAATTCACCTGTGACCCTGAATCTAACAGAGCACGGCATGTCTTGCGAGCACCGTTCGCATCGTATATGTAAACGATCGCCGTCGAGAGTAACACCTCCGTATCGCCTCGCTCGACCGCGCTATGAGTCGCGACGGCCGATCGCCCGTCCGCGACCGGCGACGAGTCGGTCGGCACCGACGGCGCGCCCGCGTTATTTATCTCTCTCTCATTTTTGGATATATGCAATAACGTGTTATGTTTTAAATTGCACGTTCTGCAACTGCCAGAAGGGCATTTGGTTGCTATGTGATTCTGGCTGCGCAAGCAGTTGAGGCACATTCTTCTGCTACGCATTTCCGCGATTCGCTGGCTGATCGGCAGTTTCAGGAATTCCTTACAAAAGTAAATTAAATGCTCGCTGGCGCAATAGTTGCACTTGCCCCTCTCGATAGTCGTGTGCAATGCTTGACGTCCAACGTTAGAACGCGATTGCGATCGAGAGTCGGAGCGAACGGACGAGATTGAATTCTTTCTCGCGGATTCCTCCAGAATCTGACTGCGATGCGAAAGAAAGGTAATTAGCTCCTTAAATGTGGGCAATTCAGAGCCCTGCAACGAAGCATGCCACTCACGGACGTGATTGTGTCTAATTTAAACGTTATAATATGAATAAGCAAAGCATCCCATTTATCAGCATTACAATTTAATGCCGTTAACGCGCGAATATGTATCGATGCCCCGTCAGCTAATTGCCGAAGGTCGATCGCGTTTTCTTTTGTTATAACTGGCAATTCAAATATTGTCCGCACATGAGTTTGTATAATCACGCGTTTGTTATCGTATCGCTCCTTTAAGAGGCTCCACGCAAGGTCATAATTGTTTCCAGAAATTTCTAAAGGTTTCACAATGTCAAGTGCCTTGTCCGTTAACGCTGCCCGTAAATATTAAAACCGTTGAACATCGCTCAACGACGTGTTATTTTGAATTATTGTTATAAAGGTATCTCGAAACGGGAACCAATCTTCGTATTTTCCCGAAAAAGTTGGCAAATTAATTTTTGGCAAGCGTACATGAGATATAGCCTCGATCTCGACTCTTGTTGAACTCTGCTTGGAACCTCTCCGCGCGCTCGATTGATTGTCGCATTGTAAAAGTCGGCGAAATTTCGCACATAATGCATAAAATGAATCCTCGAACTCGATTCTATCGTTTGCCTCCTCCGCGTCGATCATTTCAATTTGTGTTTGTATTTTACAATAATCTTCCCAGAACGATTCTAGACGGGCTTGACGGATTTCTACCTGCGCTCGGGTATCGTCGGTTAATGCGACTATATTGTTTAAAAAAGTCTCCATGCGCGTGCATGAGCCCTTAACAATTCCGCGTCGTCGTTTGTAATCGGCTAAATTGGATGATGCACGAAGCGTCTCTGCGCTGGACACGCCCGCCGCTGGGCTATGATCGAGAGGCATAATTTCAAAATCGCGTGATCCAAACTCGAATACGTTAACGATTGATTGGTGCAGATAAACAGACTCACCAGTCACGTCGTCACCTTACTTGCGTCAATGTGCCACGTTACTACTCGGGATGCTGCTCCGAATCCGGAATCGTCCTCAGCGATCCGCAATTATGTATCGCAATGCAACCCGACACCCGGCAGCATGCGCCTTATTCACTTCCTTTCTGGTCAAATTGTCTGCCTTGTAGACGAACGAACGTCCTCATGCCCGCTGCTGCTTTGCTTCGACCTTATCACTCGTCGCTTGTGTACATTGCTTCCCCAGAATAATACATCCGGCTCGAAGGACCAACTTTTGTACGAGAAATGATGTGATCTCGTATGCGTGATGCAAGTATTTTGATGTCCGTAATGCTCTTAATTGTATCGTCTCGCCAAACTGTGATGTGACGGGGAAATCCACGTAACATATGCAATCAAATTTAATTCTCAAGATCGAGATTTATTGTTACGGTGCCGAGTAGATCGATGTACAATGTTCGTGCGTTCGCTCGCCTGTTGTGAATGTCTTGTTTGTTATTCGCGCGACGGTTGGAAACGAAGTGATTTCACGGACACATTGATGGAGATCATCGAGGCTCATTTCCCCACTCGTCCGTGTTTTCGGAATACGCCGAATTTCGCCGAGATAAGACGAGAAGGAAAACAGTGACATCACCGCGATCGGTGTCTGGCGTCAATCATATAGATTGTGTATCGAACACCTATTACTTGCATATTCGAAGAATTCATCTCGTTAGGAACCTCCTGGCCCCTCATGTCGACATGGGGATTCGCATGTACTGCAACGTCTTTTCCTGTGCCGAAACGCCAAGTTCGGACAGGGGAGCGTTCAATTTAAAGATTCTCCAAGTTTAACTAATAAAACGGTAAAAATCGGTATCAGAAGAGTTAATTATTCGCACTTAGGGGCGTTCATTAACTCACGGTAAAGTTGGGCGCCAGGCGCATGTGAATGCGCCACGAGACTAATGTGAACGGTACTTAAGTTAACTTCCCCAGATGTTATACAGAGTCGCGGGTCTAGAGGATTGTTGGGTCTATGGTTGAGAGAGAGGTATAGAGAGACATACACGTGGTGTTATAATTCAACAGATATATATATTTGACACTTAGGATTTACAATTTGACATCGGATACATACAATTGGATAATATAATTATGTAACAAACAGTAATATATAAACTAGCGGTAGGGAAACAAAAATATAATATAAAGATCTGCGAATATCGGTATTTCGGTATTGATCTACAAAATTCTTATTAATTATACAATATGAAACATCTTAGATAATTTCGCGACAATTGTATGCGAACGGGATAAACAAAGACAAAATCGGTAAACGTTATGATGGTCTAACTTATTTTTGCGGGCACGCGGTATAGACAGAGGTCACAATGCGATACTCCGAGACACGGCACGGTATGCAAAAAAAAGATAACAACTAGATGACGGAAATTTCGTGACTCTTTCGCCCGACTCTCTCGCCGAGTCGAAAACAATGAAATAGTTAACAAACTCGCGGAGACGGCTACACGCAAATTCCGAAAATCTAATAATCGAGCCTATAGGAAACGTGACTCTGAATATCTCGGTAACCCGAATTTATAATAATTACTTTCGAGACGATGGACTGTCGGCGGCACTTTTCGGAGAGGGCTCGGCTCGCGAAACGCAAAGTCGGCTGGCCCCGCGATACGATACTCCAAAAAAAGACAAGAGAGAGACCGCTCTCTCACACACAAAACGATACGAAAAATGAGAGAGTGCGGTACTCACGGTAATTACGATACACGATCAATATCTACGGTACCAACCAACACGGATCTACGACTACTCGAGAGGCGGCTTACAGTTTCTGGTGACGAGTTCTGGTCCTCGGGTCGCACGTGTGGAAGTTCTGGAGGCCCCCTCTCTGGCCTAAGGCACACCGAACAGTGGAGAGCCGGGCCTCGCGCGTCTCGGTACCTTCTTTTTCGCGCCGATCTCTTGCGCATTCCCTCGATGATAGGGTCGATGGCGGGGGCCCTAAGGTCTTTCCCCGCCTCCCCCTTTAGCTGAGGTAATTCTCACGCCGGTAACGTATCGCTGTTTGAGAGGATTTTTCTCCGGGTTTCTTCCCGCGGCATCTCTCCTTCGGGAACAAGCGGGAGGCTGGCCGGGCCCTCCGTAGTCCCCCTTCAGGATCGGCCCTGTGGTTGATTTGGTTCCCGGAGTCCTCTCGGTATCTATAATGTTTTCAACGCCTAAATTCTGCGCGAGATATATCAAAGTAAATTACGGATTCTTGATACTTAACTGCGCGAGGTCCCGCGCTCTCTCTCTCTCTCCTACGCTCGCTCCATCCTTCTTTCGCGCTGCGGTATTCCGGCATCCTCCTTCTCTCTCTTGCTGCGGCACTCCGGCATCCTCCCTCTCTCTCTTGCTTCACATGTCTCTCTCCGGCCGCTCTCTCGAGCCGTCCTTGTCGCTCTACCTACAAATCGTGTCGCACGCGCATCGACAGGCCGATGCTGCGTGCAACTGCGATTCTCGCATGAAATACGGTAAAACGGAATACGGAAAAACGACGGATCGCACCCCCCCCCCCGAAGTGAGGGGCGCTCCAGATCTCCGCGGCCTACCCGATCGGGCTTTTCGCCCTTGTGACGGCGCTCCAAAAGCGTCACGTCACAGTACAGACGAATTTGTGGCAAGAGATTCGTTGTGCCCGTAATCATACGTCGACTCGCGATTCGTCGCCAAATTAAGGGGGACCATTTGCACGTTCTCCGGATACGAGATGGGTTCTGGCACTACATTTTCATTGGCACCGTTCATTTTGACATCGGCATTGGTACCTTCATCGACAACTTCCATGGCATCGGTATCGTTAGAGAGAATTATAACTTCATCGGCAACTTCCATGGCATCGGTATCGTTAGAGAGAGTTATAACTTCATAAATAATTTGGACATCGGTATCTGTACTGCCAGCTGACATTGTTATCTTCAATAGTAATTACTTCGATCTTGGGTTTTTTCGTCATTTCCGCCACAATTTTGCACTCGTCGTCACTCGTCTGACTGTCATCAAGTGTGTAATCCATGATTCTATTGATGTTAACGTCGTACAACTCACGATAAATCTCGTTTCTCTAAATCTGGGATTTCCGGGCACTCGTCGCGTGCCTGCTCCTTGTGCGTGCAATGTCAGCAAATCAAAGTGACAAAGAGTGGAAGCCGATGTATCCAATGATCGCCTTAAAGCGACCTTGCTATACCGCTGCTACCGTATCGTTGTTATACTGCTGACTGAAAAAATTCAAACTTAAAGACCTGCCGTCTCAATCGAGTATCGAGAAATGGGACAGCACGTGGCTATGTGTAAAAATCACTGAGTAGCTAATTGCCGAGCCAATGGTTCGATCCCTCGACTGTCAGCGGCCCCACATATTTCTTTAACAATAGGAGCGGACGTTTTGAGAAATTCGCAAAGAATTAAGTGCTTAAGCCGGCAAAGGGCAAATTTAAAAGACTGCAAACAAATGGAAGAATTATGAGATATTTACATTAGAAATCGTCGTTTTGAATAAACGAAAAATTTAATTTAAAAAAGATAGCTAGTTTTCTATTCTTGATGAACTACACGAAAGAACCCGAAAAAACGAGGCACGAACGCGAAAGAACGAACCCGAAAGAACGAGAATGAATAGTGAAAATAACAACAAGCAACATAGTTTGGAAAGACGACAATTGGTAAACGAGTTGCATGCGTCAACGAGAAAAAATTTCCCTCGAAGACATGTCATAGTGCGAGGATACGATGATCTGTGGCAAGCCGACATTGTCGAGATGCGTCCGTACTCACGTTTCAACAAAGGTTACCACTACATATTCACTGTCATCGATGTGTTGAGCAAGTATGCGTGGGCTGTACCACTCAAGAGTAAAGGAGGAAGCGAGACAGCTGATGCAATCGCCAAGATAATTCGGAATAGCAAGAGATCTCCGAAAAACATGCAAACTGATAACGGGAAGGAATTTTACAACGCTGATGTGCAACGACTTATGCGAAGACATGACATTAATCAATATTCTATATATTCGGTATTGAAGGCGTCGGTCGTCGAGCGATTCAATCGCACGCTAAAAAACGACATGTGGAAGATGTTTACGCTGAATGGCACTTACAAGTGGTTCAACATGCTGCCACGCCTCGTATCAGATTACAACGGACGCAAGCATCGAACGATTGGTATGCGACCTGCCGACGTTACCCCCGCGATCGCCGAAAGACTCTTGGCTACCGTGTACAATCGTGTAAAAATCGCGGGCCCGGCAAAGTTCAAAGTAGGTGATCAGGTACGTGTCAGCAAATACAAACAACTTTTCGAGAAGGAATACACACCAAATTGGACAACCGAGGTGTTTAAGATTGTTAAAGTGCAGCATACTAATCCCGTAACATATCTACTCGAGAATTATCGCAAAACATCTATCGCTGGAGCGTTTTACGAGCACGAGCTGCATTGCGCAAATTATCCGGATGTGTACCTCGTGGAGAAAATACTGCGCAGGAGGGGTGACGAGGTTTACGTGAAATGGTTGGGATTCGACAGTTCGCACAACTCTTGGATACATAAAAACAATGTTATTTAATGTATTTTATTCAATCATTTTATAACATACTATATATTGTATACCATATATGAAATATATAACAAAAAATATATATAACAAAAATATATATAATCCTCATTAATACATCCTTACAATATAATATAAATATAATAAATATAATAAATATAATAAATATAATTTACAACGGTATTCGATAATGTCCCCATGGCAAGGTGTCGGTCGAATCAGGTACGACATACCGCTTGTCGTCGTAGAAACATAGAGCAATTTTCGTCTCGCTGATGGTATACACTTTATGCAATTTCGATCTTATACATGACTGCTGACGCGTCATTTCAATTTCTTCATTAAGACAGCGCGTATAATCGTCGAATGTTATACTACGCGCTACGACGTTACTTTTGACACCTTTTGCCTTTTTAGTGTCTTTTTTTTACCGTCCACCCACAAAGCATACATTTTTGCTCTAAGCCCGACGAATTCGGTCATTATCGCACCGTTATTCTCATTTTTCATCAGACACGGCATTTTTTTATTCGCGAGCGGTATACTGTACACATTATTCGCAGCGTAATCGCTGGTATCGAATCGAGCGATATTGCGTTTCAAATTTTCATAGACATTGTGACATTTAATTTGATATATTAAACTGTCCGTGTCGGTGTACATTACTCTACAATTGTCACGATAGAGCGGTGACATGTATTCGTGGTGAAATTCATAAAGACATACTTTTGATATGTCGAGTATGCACATGCCGACGTAGATTGGTTTGTAAAATTTAACTTCGAGTTTGCATAATTCTATGGCAACTAATTTTTCCGAAAATATGCTTGTACTATGAAAATTTGGTTTCGCGATCATTGCCTCCGCACCGTACCGTCCGTCTCATTTTGTTAATAATTTTACATCCATATGAATGCGCACATTTTCCATCGTCTTGCCGAATACCGCATTATTCATTAATTTATATAAATTTTTTTCAAAATCGTTTTTTGCTTGTGTTCTAAACTGTGTGTTGAGTTCGATGTATTTTCGAAGCCACGCTGACTGCGTGAATTGTAGTATGCGGTATATTTTTGTTATGCGTAGCCCGTGGCGCGTACACTGCTGCAGATTACGATAGTGTATGACGTATCGCTTCTTATCGTAAAGCGTTGCGAGGAGTTTATACTCCCGCTTGCCGAGCGGCTTATCGCGCGTCGGGCAAAATGGTAGGTCAATATGCGCGTCATGAAGATGCTGCGGATACTCTAAATCTACTTCGAGAACATAGCCTATAGGCGAATCGAACGCAATAGATGATATATCAAAATTTGATACATCGTCGACTCACCGAAAATCGGCATACGGCAATGGTTGACACATTGCCCATCCGTACAAATTATTTACATCAAAATACATGAGGTAAGATGAGAGTTTCGATGGGTCGTACGATTGCATGTACTTGTTATTAGCCTGTGCGTATCGACCTGAACATTGACTAAGGCCGCCGCGTATACCTCGTTCGACAAACATTTCCATGTCAATGTCTGTCAATAATTCAAATTTTATATTTGTATGTTTTAACATGGCGTCCCATGTATATCCGGGGAGAGTATAATAATACGCGGAATCGAGTCCATAACTTTTTATAAAACTGTCACGAAAATTTTCAAATATGTCTGCCAATAACAAGACATCAATTTTTAAATATAAATCGCTATATTCGCCTAGCGTTCGAAGAGAGAATCGGCTCCAGACGGTCTCGGCGTGCCCGTAATCACTCTCGGATACTGTGTCGCCGGTTAGGGAGCTGTAAAATGAGTCACGCGGTGGTAAACATGTGTCTTGTAATCTGTCCACGCAATCTATGTATTCATACGGAAAGATGTCCTTCCGTGTCAATAAATTGAACGTATCTGTCGATAAATTTTCATATTCCGAATGTAAAATTTTTAGTTTATCTTTATCTAAAAATGACGCTAATTTGTCAAGACTAGCACTGAGAAACTTATACGAATCGATAAACCGTAATTTAATATAATTTTTCGAATTATTGTCTTGCGTCAATCTAACAGTTTTCGAGAATGATATATATTTTTCCTTTGTTATCGGTAGTAATTCGATTTTCTCTTTGAACGCTGTGACTATGTCCTCGATAATGAAATGTGCGTCGTAGCCGGACAGATTGTGAAAGACTATAGGAATACAAAATGATTCTTTGTAATTTAAGTTACAATTTGAATGCGCGGGGCCTCTGTACCGTCCGGTGAGATGGCAATGATCGCGAACGCGTGTATCGTCTTCGTCAAACGGTTTCCCACAAATGTGACAATGCGTCGCGGTGCGAAATTTTGCCCACTCGTCAGGCGTTAAATTTACCAAGGGGACATTGGTTGTTAAAATATTTTTTACGCGGATTGCTAAATTTTTAAGCTGTTCGGCGAATTACGCAACGCAATCGACACTACGGCGGGAATTGTACGCGGACAACGAACTGTCATACGAACACTGTACATAATACGCGATGCTGAATACTTGATGGTGTTGATAATTTTTGACATCTTCGATCTTTGTCAAAACACACTCCAAGTCGGCGTACACCACAAACGGCAGCCGCTCCTTCCTCGTGTAGTTGTCGAAGCTGAGCCACTTGTCCTTGTCGCTCGGCAACCGGATAGCGCAGTCATTTAGTTTTCCGCAGTCTACCGTATGCGCTTGCAATTTATCCTTCGAAAAGAAATAATGTAGGCATCTGTAAAAATAAAAAATTTAATTAAAATTATTTTTAATATAATTTATGTGTAATAAATATATACTTACCGATCGCATATATATCTTCTACATTTCTGTTTGTTCAGTTGCGAGCTCACGAGGCGAGACAGATTCTTTATCAACGCGAAATACCCGACGCTGTTTTCGTCCTTCACGTACAGCAAATTGACATGCTTGTCTCTTTTCTGCTTTGAAAGGCGTAGCGGGACGATGTTTTCGTTCTCGATGCTGTACACGTTTACGGAGATGTCGTTTGCCAGTTCAAATTTTTTAATGTGGTTCACAGTCACTGGAAACTCAATGTTTTGGAGATTCAGCACTGTGGTGTAATGCGGATAGAATTCTCGTTCCACATGTCTTTCAGCGGGGTACAGAGCGGCCACCACTGACCATGCGAAACACGCATTGTCCGCTGATTGCACATTAACCACCGCTCTCTTTGTCACAATTTTACGCGGTAATTTGACATGACATCCCGCGCGCATAGGATTATACTTGTTGATATTCACTGTCAAATCGATTATCCGCGACAATGCTCAGCCGCTATCGTGTTCCTGAAACTCTTCTAACGATGCTAGCGTGGGCTCGATAACGCGGTGCTCGTACTACTCGCGTACATCAGACGTGCGAAAGAGTTCAAAGTTTCTAGTGTTGATGCTTTTATTGGCGCGCTTATCACCGGACACAAACTCGCCGTTGAAAACGGTGTTCACCTTTACACTGGCGTGTCTCTGCAGCACGTTCTCCACGTTCTCGACTACAATGTCTTTGGCATTTTCCAAAAATTGACGCGGTTCGATATAGTCTACGTTAATTATCGCACCGGTCAGTATACTGGTATCGAACCCCGTATCGATTTCGCGCCAAACGAGTTTTTGCGCGTTATTGCCGCCGCCACTGTATTCAGGCACGGATCCACCGACATACCGTCTCTGCAAGCGCACCTTTGCACCTTCGAGTCGCGCTATTCTAGTTACCAGAGATTGTCTATGTCCAATCGAGAGACGCGGACGCTTGACACGGCTGCGTTCTTCCAGCTCTTCGATAAACTTTTCGCACTCTTGCAGCCATCCAAAATATTCGCCCAAGGTGGCAACTTGGTGGGAACGCTCCAACAGGTCGCGCTCAACATTCTCCGCGTTCTCCATTTTTTGTAAAAAATTCACTTGTACTGCACAGAAATAACTACTTTGCACACTAAACTTTTTTCTCACAGCTATTTTTCCTTGAGAAAAGCATGCGCTCTCATGGTCACCGTACTTTGATTTGACCCGGCAGCATCAGGGTCCTTATTCCGATCAACCTTTTGTTCGTCAACGTATGATTGTTTAACTTCTCCGGTATGCGTATCTACCCGCTGATAATTCGTAGGAATTTTTTCTAGGAAAAATTTAGATAACGTAGATTATAAAGCAGCCGCAGATTTTCGGCGCTTGTTTTGTTTATAAATTCCTGCAGCCGCTGATTATTGGCGCTGGTATTTCTTCCTGAGATAAACAATAAAGAACCGCCGCTTATTGGGGAGGTACCGCGAGGGTGAAATGCAATCCCCGCGAAAACATGTCGCGAGGGTGAAATGCAATCCCCGCGAAAACATGTCGCGAGGTTGCAGGCAGCGACTTGTTTGCCCCCAAACTTTACCCGCTGATATTTCTTAGAAATATACAGATAACGTATGGATCACGTATGGGGGGGGGGAAGAAACGCAACCCCCCCCCTTGATTGTCGGTCCTCGGCAGGCGGCAGCCCTTCTTAGAATTTGATTATCTTAGATTTTCAGAGAAAATTTAGATATCTGATTGTCGGTGCTCAAGCCTGGATTTAGCGGCAGCCCTTCTTAGAATTTGATTTACCAGAATTTTTACCTTATCTTGTAATAGATATTTGATTGTCGGCGCTCGCCAAGCGGCAGCCCTTTTGTTTAACTTTATCTTGTAATATATATCACTGTAATAGATATATATCGCTGTAATAAATATATGTTTATCTTTTGTTTATAAACATATCAGATAACATGATCGCCCCTTATCTGCTGATAAGACTCCCCCGCCCGCGTGACGTCATACTCCCTCGCCCCCGAACCCCCTCCCCCCCCGCCCCGCACCCCCCTCAGGGGACCTGGGTTAGAACCCGCCTTATATTCCTACTTATCGAAATATAAAAGCGCAGTATACACGGAATTGTAGTTCGTGAATTAAGTAATAATAAAGACAATACAAAACATATACGAAATCACGGTGTAATTGAATCGGAATACATCAACCACATAACATTTGGTGCCTCTTGTGAAGTCAAGGGCCTCCACAAGCAGAGGGAGAGAGGAGATCGGCTCGAGCACGGGTGCCAGGAAGAGAAGATACGCAAGTTACGTAGACAGCAGAATATTACGCAAGTGAATCGTTCGGATAGTGTCACGATGGCTGATAGGGTAAAGCTATTAGTGCAGAAACGTACGTCGTTAAAAACACAGATTACGTCGTTATCTAATTTAATCGATAAAAATAAAATTGACGCCACGACGTTAAAACTTCGGTACACACGTGTAAATCAGTTGTATCAGGCGTTCGAAGAGTTCAATGACGAGTTGATTGTGTTAGATCCTAATGCCGCGCATAATAGTGAGTTCGAGAAAGTGCAAGAGCGATATTATATTTTAGCGAGTAGAATCGAAGCGATGATAAACAGCGAAGGAACATTCCGCGCGAGTACAAGCACGCCCGACGGTAAAACGCGTTTGAACAACAGCGAGATCACGACGGTAATTAAGAAGCGACGCATAAAGTTACTCGAGGCGCCGTTGCCAAAATTTGATAGAAAGTACGAAAATTGGTTATTATTCAAAAACGCGTTTAACGATATGATCGGGATGCAGTCGGATTTGTCGGACATAGACAAACTTCATTATCTAAAGGCCGCACTCGTCGGTGACGCCGTGAATAAAACGAATATTCTTGCCGTCGATGTGGCAAATTACATAAAGGCATGGGAATTATTAGAGCGGTCGTATGAAATGAAGCGCATTTTAATATCATGACACATAGCATCAATTCTTAACTTACCGGCTCTCGACAAAGAAACAACCAACAGATTGACAAAAATCGCGGACGACGCACAGCAACACGTAGCCTGGTTACACGCGCTAGGAGTCGATATTAATAGTGAGATCGTGGTGCATGTTTTGGAAAGTAAGATACCGAAGACCACACTAGAAAAATGGGAGGCTATACTTGATCGCGACGAATTTCCAAAGGTAGATCAGATCTACAAATTTTTATATAAAACGGCAGTGTGCGCCTCGAAACGAGAGCGTATAAAGGCGGGGGAGACACAAGGAAGATCGTGCGAGGTCGCAATTAAAAAGAGATATCCCGGCGCCGCGAACAAAGCGTTCGTAATAAATACGGCACGTGGTTGCATTATGTGCAATAATAAGAAACATCTTTTGTTCTTATGCGATAGATTTAAGGCGCTCTTGGTCGTGGATCGGATTGAGACCGTGAGAAAGGCAAAAATATGCTACAATTGTCTGCGTTCGCATCGTGATCAAGCCTGCAAATATTCGAATTGCACTATCTGCAATAAGCGTCATAATACGTTGTTGCATCGGGAGGATCTATCAAACGCGAATAAGACCGACGCGAAAGTGAACGCGAACGTAAATGCGGTATGACTAGACGATACGGACGGCAAGCAAACGACAGAGCGGACGTTGGTATCGCGAGACATAACGCCACAATTAGTGACCAGTGCGATGATTTATGTTGAGAACAATGCGAGCGATGTCATTAAATGTTGAGCGTTATTGGATACGTGTGCTACGGCTAATTTCATTTCGGAAAGCTTAGTAAAACGGTTAAGATTGTCGGCGAAAAAACAAAAGACAACTATAAGCATGATCAATTCGCTTTATACGGCATCAGAGGGCATCGTAGAAATTACCATACGGTCAACGTGTACTGACTTCAGTAAAGAATTAACATGTATTGTGATACCAACCATAGTTAGTTTAATGCCGTCCGAAATTATATTGCGAAGAAATATTAACATCTCACCGAACATTAAGCTGGCTGATCCTAAGTTTCATCTGCCGCGCGCGATAGATGTATTAATTGGATCCGGCGCTACGCTGGCATTATTTTCATTCGGACAAATTAATTTATCGGTCCCGGGACACCAGCTGTATTTACAAAAGACAAGACTAGGTTGGGTGATCGCAGGTAGTATGGCATTGTCGACATCAACGGTCAGTAATACGTGCTATTTAACGAAACTCGAGAGACAATTAGAGAAATTCTGGGTGGTCGAGGACGTCTCGGATACCGCAGCGGGGGGAGATGTTGAATGCGAGCGGCACTTCCTAAACACCGTTACTCGCGACTCGCACGGGCAATACATCATTCGATTACCATTCAAAACGACAAATAAACAACTTGGCGACTCGCGGAGCGCAGCATTGAAAAGGTTAGTGGCGTTAGAGAGAAGGTTCTACACGAACGCAAATTTAGAGAGCGAGTACAATCGGATCATAAAGGAATATTGCGAACGTAAGTACTTGACAGTACTCGACAATGTCGACGACGACGGTTATTATATGCCGTATCATCCTGTGTTCAAAGAATCAAGTAATACGACAAAGATTCGCGTGGTTTTCGACGCGTCCGCGAAGATGAACACGAGTGTATCATTAAATGATCTGTTATTAAGCGAACCAACAATACAAGATAAATTATTCGCACATTTAATTCGGTTCCGGACATACCGATATGTTATGACTGCAGACATAGAAAAAATGTATTTGCAAGTATTAGTACACGAACAGGATTGCTGTTATCAGCGAATTTTATGGCGCATAGACGATATGATAAGGACGTTGCAATTTAACACTCTCACGTTTGGCGTCGCATCGTCACCGTTTCTCGCGATACGAGTTATAAAAAAATTGGTAGATGACGAACATGATTCATATCTTTTAGCATCCAAGATCCTTCAGACACATCTATACGTAGATGACTTGTTAATGGGGACTGATAGCGTGGACGAAGCGCGGGCGATTAGAGAGGAAATAATTGAATTGCTTAAATTCAGCTTTGCTATTCGACAGTGGGCGTCTAATGACGAACGCCTGACTAGTGGCCTTGAAGCTACGGCATTGCATGCATGCTATACTATCGGCAAAGAGCAACACTTAACCACGCTCGGTGTGACATGGCAGGTGCGTGAAGACAAAATACGATACGATGTACGTAAAATCAAATCAACGGATAAGATAACGAAGCAAAACATATTATCGGAAATAGCTAAAATATACGACCCGTTGGGGTTGTTAGGGTCCATAATAATGCATGCGAAAAAATTAATGCAGAATGTGTGGCGGTGTAAACTGAAATGGGACGAATCAGTTCCACAGGATATACATTCGGCGTGGATATCCATTCGACAACAACTAGATTTGATTAATCAAATCGCGTTCGAGCGTAGAATTTCG